TATATTATCACACTTTCTGATGTTTAACAAAATACTTGGATAACATGCTTTTCGTCCTCTTGAAAAATTACACGCATGCACAGTATCATCAGCTCATCGGTTCTCAAATCGGACATGTCCAAAAGAAACGGTTCTCGGTTCAGTGTACTGGTGATCCGAAACCCGATGCAACCCGATGGTTCTTGACTCGAGAACGAGAACCGCTACAGTAGTGGGCTGGCACGTTCGTTACCCGGCTCGCTGCACACAAGCTGCTCTGCTCGTGTTCATCATCAGTTCAGTCTTCACAGTAGTTCAGACAGTGTACTGTTTGAGTAAATAAATTACTCCGGGATATTGGTTTATTTCGACTCAAAGGGAGTGTCAGTCACGTTAAAAAAAGTGAATAATTTAAGTAATTTGTGGATTAGTGCTTACTGGAGACACGAACCGTTTCAAACGATTCAGTCCGTTTTGGTGAACTGGTTCAACCGGTTCACTAAGAACCGGTTAAATCGAATGATTCGTTCGTGAACCGGACATCACTAACATCAAGTTGACCGTTCCAAGATGGCGGCCGCATCTACGTGCCTGGAGCCGTCGAATGGGGCATCTATACATATCTGTGTGTGTTTTACCCAAAGTTGAACATTCTTCTCTGCACCGAGAAAAAAAAATGCAGAGCGTGCAGCACACAGTGTGAAATAAATGCTCAGCGCCTCGTCACACTCCTGGCATTTTAAACGCAGAGCTCCAATTGAAAACAACTGAAATAATACACTAGCCTCGAGCATGCCTTAAGGTCAGTTTGCAAATTAGTCCTCATACTTACCATACTGGAAAATAAGCAAGATAAAACATAAATAAATTCAACAAATCTACAAAAACTACTACTGTGTTTGGCCTATTTAACCAGATTAAACAGTGTCTTTAGTGATGTAATAAAACAAGGTAAAGAAATGTCCAATCAAACTAGTTTTTTATTTATTTATTTTTAACAAGATCGGCACAGTTTTAGGTTGCCACTTAATGCCAAATGCAAAAACTTGTGTCCTGATTATGGACCAAAATTTGCAGAAAGCATAATGCAAGCTTTCTTTCATAAATAATAATACTGATGATGCAAACAAAAACAATAAAGTATATAAGAAAGCCAAGCCCTCAAAAAAATTTACTTTGGTAAATCCCCTTTCAAGACTTTAACCCCGTGTGCCTCCTCACCCCGATCCCTCAAGGATTATATTGTGGCGCGTTCCCCAGCCCTTTGTGATGAAGATAGCCCTTGGCTGTCTGAGTGGCAGGGCAGCGAAAGCGAGCAGGAAGAAATGGTTTCATGGCTGAACTGACGGCTTGAATTAACGTGTCTGAAATGTGCATCATCTGCTAACACTTGGACATGGTGTTGCTGTGGCTCTGGGTAAAGCCTTGACCACCGCCTGCTCTCCCTTTAACCATGTTCCTGTAGCTGGAAGCGCCAGGCCTTGTCACTTTGATGGACAGCTGCCTGG